TACATTAGTTTCAGACACACCAAATCAGTACTTGACTTACTTGTTTCTGTGATGTGATTCAAAGAACAGAGAAATTATACATTATCTATCTAGTGCCTAAAATTTGCAGAAGCAGAAGAGCTGAACAAAATATAAAAATCGTGAAAATCCGCTATGGTAAACTGAAAAAAAGGTTTTTTGAAAAACCGGATGAAATTAATAAAAACTTGTGTGCATGTTAGATGGAGGCCAAAACCATGGGACATACAACAAAACCATGAGAGTTGGCAGGTCTACAATCTGTTGGAAAATGTGTGAATTTTTCCCTACATGTACAAGCAAATAATCAATTTTTGAGAGGTTTATTTTCCAAATTGACTTCCTTATCATTTTTAAATCTTCTAATACTTACATATTTGGGTATTCTGGGCTCCTGACAAGAAATTTTAATATTTTTCAATTATAAACATTTGCCAACTTCAGCACTTTTTTGAATCCATAAAATTCAAACTTCCCAAGTTAGCGATTCACTTTACAAGGATGTACAAAAAAAACTTTCCTACATCTAGATTTTCTGAGTTTAAACCCTGGCCTTTCAAAATTTGATTTTTTTTAACTACCGGAAGAAATTATCAAGCAATTTAAGGCTGCCATTATGGGCCAAATAAAATGTGGGCCTCAACATCAAATAAAGATCCTATGGTAGCTTTTCAACATCAAATAAAGGTCAATGAAGACTGACGTCATTGATTTCATTGACGAATTTCCGACATTTCGGTAGTTTTCCTTCTCTTTTCATTCATCATCAAATTTTTTAAATGCGTCTCAATCTTGAATTCTTAAATACTTGTTTTCCCCTCTTTTGATGCAAATTTTGCCAAATAATAAATTGGGTGGTCGTATCAACCAATAATCTGTCAGAGTAATGAAATTTTGTTGCCACTTTTGGCTATGAGAGATCGAGGTCGAGCTTTGAAAGGAAAGCAACTGATCTCAGCTTGCTTCCTTTGCAGTTGTTCAGTAAGGCAAATCACTTTGCAGTTACTGAGAAATGAAGAGCCAGGGCAACGCATGCCCAAGGTATATGTTGATGTATCTCGGCGCAATTCATTGAGATTAAGATTAGAAGAAGTCATTGTTTAGATTATAGAAAAGCAAAATGTGAAATTGTAAATACTATTTTCAATCATTTCAACCCTAGCGCCAAAACTTGAGAAAGGACACTCAAATAGGGACAGTGCAGGGGCTTACGGGGGTCTGCCTTGTCAGGGTGCCCATTTCGTTTTGAAATGGTTTATCAAATATTCATAAATTTGGCAAAATTAAATAATTATAAAAGATGTGGGATTAATTTTTGGTTCAGAAATTGTACTTCAATCCTTGGAGGTCACTTTAACTTTTTGTATACAGAAGGATCCATCCGGTAATTATTGGTACAAATTATTCATACATAAATTTCTTATCACATTAGTTTCAGACACACCAAATCAGTACTTGACTTACTTGTTTCTGTGATGTGATTCAAAGAACAGAGAAATTATACATTATCTATCTAGTGCCTAAAATTTGCAGAAGCAGAAGAGCTGAACAAAATATAAAAATTGTGAAAATCCGCTATGGTAAACTGAAAAAATTTTTTTTTGAAAAACCGGATGAAATCAATAAAAACTTGTGTCCATGTGAGGTGGAGGCCAAAACCATGGGACACACAACAAAACCATGAGAGTTGGCAGGTCTACAATCTGTTGGAAAATGTGTGAATTTTTCCCTACATGTACAAGCAAATAATCAATTTTTGAGAGGTTTATTTTCCAAATTGACTTCCTTATCATTTTTAAATCTTCTAATACTTACATATTTGGGTATTCTGGGCTCCTGACAAGAAATTTTAATATTTTTCAATTATAAACATTTGCCAACTTTAGCACTTTTTTGAATCCATAAAATTCAAACTTCCCAAGTTAGCGATTCACTTTACAAGGATGTACAAAAAAAACTTTCCTACATCTAGATTTTCTGAGTTTAAACCCTGGCCTTTCAAAATTTGATTTTTTTTAACTACCGGAAGAAATTATCAAGCAATTTAAGGCTGCCATTATGGGCCAAATATTGAAGTATTAATCTTTTTGTAATCTTTTTCTGATACTGCTCCTCAAAAAGTTCTAGAGCAGAGCAACAGTTTTGAAGAGGCTTTCCTCACCTTCTGGACTTTTTCTACTCCGTAAAGTCTGCACGCAGGTTATCTTACGGTGGCTTCGAATATGGGGATTCCCTCTATTCTAGCAACGAGCAAGTAACATCAAAAACAGCAAGATTTCAACCAAAATAAAATCGCTTTCTACAAAACATATGTTGGATCCCCGTGTAATTCAATGTTTTTAACATGTTTATCTAGAAATATTTAGGCTCTCTGATGGTTCGATGAATCACCCACCATAACCGGGGCCGCAGCCTTAATGCACTGGATGTTACCATACAGATGCTGGGCGAGATCCAGTTTGTAGTAAAAGTAATGCGCTCAAATTTAAGGGGTGTGTGTCTGTATAGGCTTTCTAAGGAGTAAACGGAGGGGTTTTGAAAATCAGACTGGCCTTCAAATAATTAAAAAACCAAGACTTTATATCTACACTGCCATGCCAGTAGTAAATTTTTTCAAGCATCACAGGCACAGTGAGCCTAAAATGACGTTCAATGACACACAAATGTTGATTTTCGAACATCAATAATCGGGGGAGAGGGTCCATTCTATTATCAACATCAGAGTATGCCTTCTCTTCCCTCTCCTTCCCGGCAACCAAGAAATGTTTCAACCGCCGCCCTGACCCATGTTAGTTCCAAAAATGTCTGAGAAAGGGCCATAAATTATTGGAACTCACATGGTATATAGATTCTTATAGAAGTGAACCCGCCGGGAATTCTATTAAAACGCTTTTCAAAATTTTGTGTGCAATTCAAAATTGCAACAATGAAATACAACGACATGCAATAAAAAAAGCTGTTCGTTCGGAAACTTCAGTGTCAAGATAAAATGCCTAACTTCCAACCACGCCACGCAAAAGATGCGAGATTCAACTACCAACAACCACATTAAATTCATAAGAAATCGAGTAAAAAGCCGAACCTTAGAAATGTTTATTTGAAGATGTTGTGCTCTTTCTGGCTGGTGTCACGCAGGTCTTCTGAATAACTACAAATGCATGCATTTCGTAACATAAAAGGATTAGTTATTGAGGAACTTGAAGAAAAACAACTTCCAAGAAACAACATGTCATGATTGATTCGCCTTCGCAGTATGCAGCCTGGGGATCGCATCAGTTGCTCACCTTGGCCTTTTGAAGGTGCACTACATACATATAAAATCTGTGTTTAGCATGTTTCCTTAATTCGTTATATTTCTTGCATCTATCGAATAAATTTGCAATATAATGGTTGCTTTTCTTGAATACTCTTTAAGGACATTCAAATTCCACAGAATCTTTTCACAAAAGCATAAGATATAGACACAGGATAATACGACAATTTCGATAAATCAGAAGGAACGTATCGTATTAAATTCAGAGGTGATGTGGGCCTCAACATCAAATAAAGATCCTATGGTAGCTTTTCAACATCAAATAAAGGTCAATGAAGACTGACGTCATTGATTTCATTGACGAATTTCCGACATTTCGGTAGTTTTCCTTCTCTTTTCATTCATCATCAAATTTTTTAAATGCGTCTCAATCTTGAATTCTTAAATACTTGTTTTCCCCTCTTTTGATGCAAATTTTGCCAAATAATAAATTGGGTGGTCGTATCAACCAATAATCTGTCAGAGTAATGAAATTTTGTTGCCACTTTTGGCTATGAGAGATCGAGGTCGAGCTTTGAAAGGAAAGCAACTGATCTCAGCTTGCTTCCTTTGCAGTTGTTCAGTAAGGCAAATCACTTTGCAGTTACTGAGAAATGAAGAGCCAGGGCAACGCATGCCCAAGGTATATGTTGATGTATCTCGGCGCAATTCATTGAGATTAAGATTAGAAGAAGTCATTGTTTAGATTATAGAAAAGCAAAATGTGAAATTGTAAATACTATTTTCAATCATTTCAACCCTAGCGCCAAAACTTGAGAAAGGACACTCAAATAGGGACAGTGCAGGGGCTTACGGGGGTCTGCCTTGTCAGGGTGCCCATTTCGTTTTGAAATGGTTTATCAAATATTCATAAATTTGGCAAAATTAAATAATTATAAAAGATGTGGGATTAATTTTTGGTTCAGAAATTGTACTTCAATCCTTGGAGGTCACTTTAACTTTTTGTATACAGAAGGATCCATCCGGTAATTATTGGTACAAATTTCCCTTGAGATTTTATACAACTGTGTACCTAATTAGACAATATGCCTTTTTGATATTTATGGATTCAACTAACACAAAACAACAGCAAAGAAAGGAACAAAAGAGCAGAAACTTATTATTATAGAAAACAGTCTAAATTACTATGACTAGTGGTATCTAGTGGGGACTAGTGAGTATCTTATGTGCGTAACAACAAGATTTTGTATTTTGATATGTTTGGGTCTCGTCAACACATTTAAGCTGATAATTTTAGACCAGCAAAATCTGTTTTTGATACTTTTAGTTGGATTTTGATAACTGCGGACGGACCTTCCCGTATATTAAAATTGAGTGACTCCCCTGGGACTCTTATATGAACATGACATGACAGGGGAGAAAGGATAGGTTATAGAAGAGGACGCTTTCAATAATGCAGTTATTGGTTCTTAAGTAAAAAATATGTCCTAAGTTTATTAGAGTACATTTATCCAGATATGCGATCAAGGGCGGAGAGATTTTTATCGCACGCATGCATATATGGTTGTATCATCCGCGTAATTGCAGATATTAGGACAGGGTGGGCTGTATATTATCATGCGAAGTTCCTTCTCTGGCCAATCAGAAAATGCATGTGCGCTCCACTCACGAAAATTTTGCTCCAGTCAGAGAAAGCTAGCCAATCAGTGGCCATAGTGAGGGGAGCAAAACTTGTGGCGGGAGTTCAAAAACCTATAAATACAATTTTCGGGGGGTTGACCACTTCTTTTTGACAATTTTTAGTTTCTGGCGGAAAGGGTGAATAGATTGCGTTCTCCACATGGCAAGAAAGGGGACTTATTCAAACTAAAACGGGAACTTATGACAGTGACTGCGTTGAAACCGAAAACGGTCAAAGGACGGCATCTTATCTTCAGCGAGTTTCAGAACTCCACATAACCACAAATAAGTAAAGGAGTGTGTTGTTGACGTGCTGCTTGGTAAGCCTTCACATAAATCATGTTAAAAACCAGGTTTTTAAGAGAAACGATAACCACAATAGCAGTCAGCCCCAAAGCGTCGCATTCCACATACAAAAAGTTCTGGCTACATTCGAATAGGTAAGGTCGTGGCTGGCCTTGCAAATCGATTATCTTAGATTTAAACACTGCACTCGGCAAGTGATAGACGACGTTTAGTCAAGATTAAATAATAGAACTATAATATTATTTTATCTTGTTTACTTAATGTTTGCTAATACTTTCAATAAATCAGTCAGTCCGTTCGTCAATCAGTCAGTCAAACTTTCTCATATCTCTCCACTTGAAGAGGAAGAAATTCCTGGCATTTATGTGGAAGTTTTCCAGTTATATGCATTATTACATGCTTCCTCTGCTCGTTTCGAGGATATACTAGATTGTTTGCTGTACAATATAATAGAAAATATGCAATAGGTGCATCAGAAAGGATTCTTACTCCAACAACAAATTAACAAAATGCAATTTATGGACAACAGCTAACCTATATAACTTTAGTCCGTTTCTTCACAGTCATGGTTTTTTCTCGTTTCTTTGTTCGATTTAACGCCAGCATAAATGCCATAAATTTCGTTTAGAAGGTCCGAGAATCACGTCTGCGTCATAATTATTGCTTGAAACGCTCTTTGATCTAGATGAAGAACAAAAAATAATGAAGAAGTTATTCCATGATTAAACAAAACACGTTAAAGAAATCAATAGTCACAATGCTTTCCAAAAATTTGAGAAAGAAACGTTCGCCCCGAGAGTCTAGCCACCTCTTTAAGCGGCTGGTTTTTATTGTAATTTCGTTGAAATAAGCGCAAAATCATTTGAAACAGTATTATTGGAGGGCAATACAGCCAATCCATATTCTTTTAAGCATAAAACCACGCAAGAGGTAACAGCAACCAGTTTTTAGTATAATTTTTTAGTGCAAAAAGCCATTTGAAATGATTTTTAGAATGATTCCTACAATTCCTAAAATGCACTCAGAGCGAAAAATGATTTAACATGTGGGCAGGCAAATTCTATTTCAAAGGCCGCCACCCTCACAACAACGTCTCAGTGGGAAAATCGCAGACAAAACTGAAATCTTGATCGAAAAATACTTACTTGTTTTACCAAGATGTCAGTGAATCCGATCGTTCATCTGCAAAGAAGCAAAAAAAGCGGTTAGAGAAAGATGCTGCAAAGGATTCTAATTAGGAATAAAAAGTTCGGGGCTGGCATTACATAATTCGCATTACAGCAGATTCGCCTATGAAATCAATTTTCATGCATCAAGAATAAACAGCAGGCAAAATCTACAATAATTCTTCTTTGCCATAGAGCCAATCCAGTTTCTTTTTAGCACAAAAATCACGAAAAGTGGTAAAAATTCGCCGTTCGCAGTAAGCGACCAGTTCTTAGCGGTCGGTTTCTAATGTAATTTCATCGAAATACGCACAAAATCATTTGAAATAAGCAACATCGAAAAGACACGTAAGAACAAAAACGCTTACTTGTACTCGCATGCCATCGATTCTGATGCCAGTGAAGAAGGGGAGCAGCCAGCAGCCATCGCAAAACCAAAAAATGGGCAGCAGCGGGTGTACGTAGCTACTAAAACAAAAAGGAAGATCGTCAAAAGCAGGAATTATATGGCTCTTGCAAACGAAATAATAAGAAACGGAGTGGAAACGGGGTCGCCTGAGATAGAAATGGGGTAGAGGCTGCCCCCTTCCTTCCTAGTGATAGTCACAAGAGGGCAAGTAATTTTTTTATCATGTGACCTATACGGAGCTAATTATTTTTAAATCGAGGTTGATACATCTCTTGTCTTTCCGAGGCTAATCTTTCTGGTTGTAGGGGGCTGTTCTTGTCTTTTCTAGGCTAATGTTACTATTATCTATTGGGGTGGTAGGAGGCTGTGCAGGGGGGTTCGCGTAGTGGGCTTTACTGTCAGCTAGTTTTCTATTTATCCAAAGTGTAGTTATCGATTTGATATACTATAACTGCTCTGGTTTCGTGCGTTATAATGCGTGCGTTATAATTCTTTCATCACATTTGGAATATTTGATGGACAGCCTTAATGTAAAAACAAATAATAAAAAATTGAAAAATAAGGGTTAAGGTTCCATATTTCTGTTCAAAACAAGAAAAATTGGAAATTCACTACACTTACTCTACCAATCAGAAAGTTCAATTTCCTGATGGAAAATATCAGTGCCATCAAACCATGCTCTTATTGTAATCCTCTGATCAAAAGCTGTTGATTAGGATGTAATCAAAAGCTATCAGTACCACCATTCTTATTTGTTCTTAACCATTCTCTATCATCAAAGGCTTAACACGTATAAGACACAGGGGGCTCTCAAGTAGTAATACTTCTTCACAGCCATATTTGTGGCAGTGAGTAAAGTCAGTAGAGTCAGTAGAATCAATGTTGATTAGTTTGATTGATAATCTGATCCAGAGAAAAATTTCGAATTTCTTGTCAAATGCTCTCCATTGATGTTGATTGGAAGGTCATTTAATGTTGCAGCTGTAACGTTTTAGGTTTTGTAAACTTCAGTTACTGTTATTGTTATGTTAAGCTAGATTCCTTGATTCTGTTGCGTGTTAATGTCACATGTTTGTTTGTCGCGCTGTTGTGTTAGTAACTCCCTTTCCGGGAAATGTGCGTCACTGTCATCGTATTATGTGATGTTTCACAGTGTTCCTTTGTCAGTGTTTTAATATAATGTAATCCAAGTTAGAATAATTTAGTCTTACTGTTTTGACGATAAAGATAACATCAAAGAAGGAGTATCTTTTGTTTGCTATCTACTTGGGGCTTAGGCCCGTTGGCCTAGCCCATCGCTCCACTAACGAGCTTGGTTATTAACTGGTTCTTCACCGTCATGACAAGAACCCTTATCGTTTCACAGCTATTGTGTTTAGCGTGAAGCATATTAAAGACTTTGCTGTCACATTTGAGAAGAAGAAAAGCACTTTTGATGAAATATTGCTAGAATAACTCACCAATTTGGAGTAACTGAGCATGAAAGTTTTTTAATTGAGTGTAAATTCTTAGAACTTTTTTGCTCCTGAAAATTAACAACTATTATGATGTCAAATGTGATCACTGGATCAGACACCTCATCGGAAAACAGTATGGAAAGCCCGTTTGTAATATTGTAATTTATATCTTTTTAGCTTCAGTCTGGCAAGTTTAGCAATACATTAACTGCAATGCCAAGGACTGCTCATCATTTATTTAGGTAATGAAATGTAGGCTACAAAGCAATAGCTGAAATGCTGATACCTTTGCAAAAAAATGTTGACAAAGAATAAGCCACATGAGGTTCCAATTGGCACAAGGTTAGGGTAATTGTTTTTGGTTTTCTCTCCCCAAAAGCCAAACTTTTAACGGAATTAAACTATACATCATTTGACGTACAATAACGTGGTGATTCCCACCATATCAAAATAATTGGCAAATATTGAAAATTGTACTTTCCAAGTATATTTAATGCTTAAATGAGTGTAACACCTTCAAAAGCTATTTTGTACCCTTGCGTTTTGAGGTAACAAAATCTGACTTATATCACCAGAAAGCGCAGATCTCAAGCTACCAAGGTGTCTCAAATTTTTCAATTTTTTTCTCCTTTTGAAACTATACCTTGTCAAAAATTTGTATTCAATTTTTCAACCCTCCCGTAGTTGTATTTGGCTATAAAAGATGGACCAGAGCAATTATGCAAAAAAATTTTGAAACACCCATTGCTTAATATACATTGGTCTTAGCCGTGTTTGAATTTTTGAGCAATTGGATTGATTCCTTGGGTACAAAATAGCTTTTCTTACCTGTATGTAGAGGAATTGTGAGTCCAGAGATAATTTGATTTTACTCATGGCACTTGAAAAGTACACTCGTAAACTAGTGTAATCCAGATCAAGCTCAAAGATCAATAAGCCTGTTTAAATAAACACTGGCATACATGAGATACATGGATGTGCCATGCAATTGTAACTTTATTGTAAATGAGACATACAGCCACAACCCCAAAGCAAGGATAATCGGCTTAACTGCAGGCCTTGAAAAAAAATTTTCTTCCTGGCAGCAATTCAAGATTTCCTGCGAAGCTTCGAGAAAGCTTCCAGCCACTGAAATTGATATTTCAAGTTGCTTGATTTGTTTAAAAATTTGTCCTAAAAACAAACTGTCACACTAAAAAAAGCTAATTGTTGGTCCTGCAGTCTTGATTATAGCTATTCGAACAGGAATCAGTTTGTTTATACTGTATTAGATGATCAAGGAGAATGTGATCAAGCAAGATGCTCATAGTTTGTTTTCAAGATTAAAGGAAGTAGATCTGAAAATCTTTAATAACTTTGATTAAATTTCATATCAGTACTAGCAAACTAGCTACTTTATAAGTATTGATATATCTATACATCCTGCCCTGGGTGGGTTCATCATCAAAGCTAGTAGTTCATACAACATGTAAGAAAACTATTATATTTTTCAATGGTTAAAATAAATGTTTTAAATCAGGAGTGGTGCTAGAGGCAAAGATTTAAGACCAAAACGCTTACATTCTATAAAGCAAGTGATGAAAAATATATGTGAATGCCAGTATAATGTCTTTAAGTGGTTTTACATATTTAGAATGGCTAATAATGTCAAAAAAGGAATGAACTTTGTTTTAGCTTGCTGGAATTAAATTAGCAGCTGAAAATCATGCACAGAAATTTGGCATAACAGATGCTTATAATACCAGATGATTGAAAGCTAATCTTCGTTTTTTTGTTAGTAGTGCAGTACAAAAATTATACAGTATGTATATATCAGTATTTACAGTATGTATGTATATCACAAGAAAACAGCATTCCATAGAAATATTGTAAAATGAATTTAATGTTCATATTAAAATCAAGCAATGGAGATTTCACGCTAAAAATTTCTTGACAAACACCAACAATTTCCTGCAATGAATTTGCACCAAGAATTTCCTGGCAGCACCGCTGCCGACGCTGCAGGACATCTTCCAGCCCTGCTTATTTGGTCAAGAGATTTTCAGACCTCAACTTAAAACTGCCATAAAGAAATTATGGAAACCTTCGTTTCCATTGAATTTCTTTCTTTTTCAAAATTTCTGCTATTCAAATACGGTTTCATTGTGTGCCTTGAGAGTTTGGCTAGTAGAGTGCGATGGCAAACTTCACAGACACCAGTGTAGATTTTTTGAAATGGTTTATTAGAACAGACCTATAAAAAAAATTCCTGAAAGCAGGAGGTTTGCTTGAAAGCAAGAGACCGAAAGAAGAACTCTTAATTTTGGAGACTCCCGCCCAAGTCGGGAGACTCCCGCCCAAGTCGGGAGACCCCGCCCGAATCGGAGGAATTGGAACCTTTGCCTGAGGCGAGTAAGAAAAGATCTGTTGAAAATCCACAACAATCTTCAATACGATCCTGAATATTAATTGAACTTCAGATGCTGGGCTCTTCACGTTTGAGAGCTGAAAACAAGATCTCGTCATCGTGCAGTCATAGCCCTTACTCGCAACTTCAAGTCGCCCTTATGGGGCGGGGGTCTTTGAGGGGGATCAAATGCCGTGTTTCCGCAAGAAAATTTTCCTATTACCGTAATTCCCCAAAAATATTTTCATATTACCGTAATACCGAGTCTTCAAAATGAAAATTACATTATCTCATTTAAGTTTCGAGTAATTTCTGGGAAAATCGCCAAGATTCAAGCACGTAACATATGCCCATGTATTGGCGGAAAGTTTATAGTATATTCAAAACTCATGCGCCCACGAAATATGAAGCTTATGCAGGTCCCTTTTTCTTCAATCTTTCTTACATAAATTATCTGAAACTTTCATCATATTTTAGCTGACTTTCCCCTCTGACAATTTACCCTTTCAGAGTCTTCTTGATGGATACAACTAGCTTTTCCTTAGTGCTTTGAAACTTGTTTAGCTTTTGCAGTTTCACTAAATCTATTTATGATAGCATATCTTCTTACTGGATATAGAATCACATTTTGCCTATGAATCCCAGGAGTTTAACGCTAGGGGAAGGAGGGGGGCTATGGGAAGCTGAGCAATGAGCTAGTGAAAGCTTAGATTATCCCCAAATAATTATTGTAATACTCGACTGCTCATTATTTTCAAATCTCTCATCTTATCTTGGCACAATTACGCCGTGCAAAAAAGTTAATTTCTTGACTGTGCCCCACTGCCTATGCAAGTATAATTTTTAATAGAAATATGATTCTGAAAGTGGTAAACAAATTCCATGCTTTAATCAAAACATATAGAATATTCAAGCAGCTACGTGATATCGCTCTATAATTCTCTAAGCTAAATGGAATAAAAAAATGGTAAAGATAAATGGAAATAGAGCCCTTTAAAATTGATCTAGCTTATGCCTACAATCGAGAATACAATACTACAATATCAGGTGTAAGGGAGCACTCAGGTGTAAAGGAGCACACTGTTCATAAGCCCCGAAATGCTCTACCTGGTAGATTAGCTGGGGAGTTAGCAAGGACTCATAATTACATAATACAACATATATACCTGAGTGTGTGTATGTATATTTATGTATATATGCATATGTATTTGTGTGCAATATATATATTTATATACATATATATATAGACTAAAATAAACAGACTATTGTGACACAACTCTGAGTTTCATATGTAAACAATCATATATATATATATTATATTCACTGCTCCTCTCAATCAGGATGTAGCAGTTGTCGGTGCTCTTGCTTCAAGGGTAGTTTTTAAATGTTCATCAGTTTGTGGTTGCACTAACTGTAAAAATTGTGAGAGGGAAACCGAATGCAGCGAAGATAGCGATGATGACCATAATGATAAAAGTGGGAAAGACAGCGACAGTGTTGATGGACTTTTTGCTTCCAAAATACAAATATTATATAAAGACCATTTCCTTTCAGATTTTTGCAGTTTTAATTACTTCTACAAATCAATTATTATATAATTTCCAAAATTAATTTTGACAAGTGTGTTCGCGATTTCTAAAAATATTTCAAATTTTGATAGTGACCATACCGTTTCCCACCCTAGCCAGTGTGTAAATAAACTGAAATCACTCCGCTTGCCAAGATAAAACATTGCAATTGTAATTATACCAGTAGGTCTCCTGTCCTTTTTAACTGTTGCAGTACTTTGTCAAATCGCGTCCACGCAGGGGCTTCTCTTTTTATTTAGCGAAATCGAAACCATATAGAAATTTTTTTGTACTATAAAGCTATGTTACGACCCAATGTGTATCGATCATGTTAATAGAAGTAATGAACACCTGTTCTACTTGGCCAAAAGCAATTGTGTCGCGATTTTAATTTTTTGATGACGTCATCGTAGTATCGCATTTCATGCAAAAATTGCTTAGTTCCATGATTTGTGCAACGGTATTGGTTTTTAAACAAGATAGAGTTTCTCATCCTATGGCCTAGAAGTAGAAATTGCCAGCGTGATCTTGGACTGGATTGAATATATTTCTGAATTAATTCTGATTTCCTTTCATTTTAAGTGGTACACCAATTTCTATGGTTACACCCTTGGTTGATATTTGTGTCTCATTTAAAAACCCTACTAAAAAGACAAGCAGCGCTTGCCAGAAAACTAAGACACTGTGAACGTGGCTATTTGGGTCAAAATTTGATGGAATAGTTTTGCATATTTGGGTCTAAATTTGCTTTGACTGTAACCAGAAGCGTGACTTAAAGAAGGGAGTCGACTATATACGGTTTTTATATCTGTAGTGAACTCACAAACTTGCAAAACAAACAAACTCACAAAACAATAGCAGAGAACACCTTTTGTTTTCAACTTGCGTAGTAATTCTTTAGCCCTATTGTTTTCATCTAGCTCTTTTCTCTTCCTTTTGTATTTAATTCAATAACTCTCTGTTATCAGCTTTTGAGTTTGTACAAAGCTATTTTTTAATTGAGTTGGTGAAAAAGTTTCACAGAGACACACGTGGAGAGTTTCTCTTTCGTTTTTCACTAAATTAGTAAATACAACTAAACAACAACATTTACTAAATTGGTGACCACGACGTTTTAACCATTGCATCGCTCGCCGTTTTCCAACGTTGTTTTACGCTTGATTCGCTTGCTGCTATTTTATCATGAACGACGAATCACAACTAGACGTCCCAACTCCGGCTCTATCTACAGCAGCCATGGCCGCTCCCGTCGCTGCCGTGAGTTTGAAATTACCTCCATATTGGCCTAACGACCCCATGGTTTGGTTCGCACAAGTAGAGGCTCAGTTCTTAACCCGTAGCATTATTTCACAGACAACAAAATATAATTATGTTATAGCCTCACTGCAACCAGAAATTGCTCAGGAAGTTCGCGACGTCTTTATCAATCCTCCAGTTAACCAGCCTTACGACCAGCTTAAAGCGGAGCTCATAAGGCGCACATCAGCTTCAGAACAAAGGCGTTTTCATCAGTTGTTAATTTCTGAAGAGCTTGGTGATAAACGACCCTCACAGCTTCTTCGCAAGATGCAACAACTACTAGGTGATACCCGGTTGGAAGACAGGATTTTCCATCAGTTATTCCTCCAACGTTTGCCAACGAATGTTCGACAGGTCTTAGCTTCCTCACCAGACACCGTTTCAATTGAAAAATTAGCCACCATTGCTGACCAAATCTTTGAAGTTGCTACACCCTCAATGCCAATTGCTGCCATTTCTTCAGCCAACCTTCCTCTCCGTCCAATGAAATAGCTGATCTTCGACAACAAATTAGCACATTGACTTCTCAAGTTCAAACCCTGACAAGCCATTTCAATTCACAGCCTCGTTCTCGTTCTCGCAGTCGATATCCAACTCCACCTCGCTCTTCTCGTCCACGGTCCTCTAATGCAAGTCGTCATACAGGTCTTCAATGTTGGTACCACTGGCGTTTTGGCTCAGCTGCTCGCAATTGCACTCCGCCATGCAGTTTCACTTCCACAACTCAACACCAGGAAAACTGCCCCGCCAGCGACTAGAGGCGACAAGTCTCGCTGGCAGAAGCACACAAAGTCGCCTATTTTTTGTCACCGATCGTCCTACTGGTACACGATTTCTCGTTGACACAGGCGCTGATGTGAGTGTTATCCCTCCTTCTCTTTCTGAAAAATGTCATCCTTCACCTGTAATGTTGCAAGCAGTAAACGAGTCAACCATAAAAACCTATGCTGAAAAGTCCATAGCTCTGGATTTGGGACTTTGTCGTGATTTCCGTTGGATTTTCATCATTGCGGATGTACCAATAGGGATCCTTGGTGCTGATTTTCTGGCCAACTTTAGCTTGAAAGTGGATATGCGCCATCGGAAACTCATTGACACAAATACAACATTGTCTGTTAACGGTATACACTATTCGTTATTTTCACCACGTCCGATGTTTTGCCTCCCAACTACATCTTCTCCTTTTAAAGCTCTGATCAAGACGTTTCCAGACCTTGCTCGTCCCTGTTACAAAGAGTCAGCCATAAACCACAATGTCACTCATCACATCCGAACACAAGGCCCACCTGTTTTCTGTCGTCCACGCCGTCTTGCTCCTGATCGCTTGCCTGTTGCAAAAGCTGAGTTTGAGCACATGCTACAACTTGGAATCATCCGTCCTTCCGAAAGTCGCTGGAGCTCTACACTCCACATGATCCCAAAACCTTCACCTGGTGACTGGCGCCCCTGCGGTAACTACCGAGCTCTTAATAACATAACAGTTCCTGATCGCTACCCTATTCCGTACATTCATGACTTTTTGCCAATCTAAATGGTGCAACCATTTTTTCCAAGATCGACCTCGTCCGTGCCTATCATCAAATTCCTGTGGATCCAAATGATGTCCCAAAGACTGCAATCAGCACGCCATTCGGTTTGTTTGAATTTGTACGAATGCCTTTTGGACTTCGAAATGCAGCTCAAACGTTTCAGCGTTTCATGGATGAGGTACTTCGCGGTCTTAATTTTGTCTACGCATATATCGACGACCTACTAATTGCTAGTTCCACAGAATCTGATCACTTACAGCATTTAGAAATTCTATTGAGCCGACTATCATAGACCAGGCGAGGAAGGGGGGGTATCGTCACCCATCGAGGGAATTTGCAAGACCTACTCCATTTGGTCAATTTTGATACGCTGATTACGAATATCGATGTTATACGGGGAAATTCGGTACCAGGAAGCCTCTATTTCACGTTTAAACCTCGTTTTCGTCCAAATTTGAATGTTGAACAAAAGTTTTGTAAATGGATCGATTTTTATCAATTACGATGTGCTGATTGCAAAAAATTATTTTTTAAATGTAAATTCAGTACCAGGAAAGCCTCTTTTTCATGTTTAAACCTCGTTTTCATAAAAAAAATGAATTTTGAGCAAAAGTTTATAGATTATTGATTCTCATCAATTTCGATATACTGATTTCGAAGGTTGATCTTATACGGCGGAATTCTGAATGCATCGCTTTCTTATTATTTCTAAAGAAAAACCTGCTGCACACATATTTGCTTTAAAAACTTAAAAAAGATTATGCCATAGGGGATATAATACGGCTAATATAAATTTAAAGTTATTTGGCATAAGCATTCTAGCTTTCGTTGTCGTCAGAGTCATCGCTATACTCATCCTCGGAGCAAAGGTCATTCATTGAGTCAATGTTGTCTTCTTCGGCATCTTGATTGACATTTAGAAGCAGCTCCGCAACATTATCTGGGTATATTTTTTTACTCCACAATGCGTTACCAGCTGCATCCCAACAATGATCAACTGGACTGCCAATGTTTAACTGCAACTGGTCAGCATTTCTGTAAATGCTTGCAACATAAGCTGATCTAGCTATGTGCAAATGTAGATTGGCAGCACACGGTGGAATTAAACTAAGGTCAACAACCTTCCCTTTAGTTCCAAAAATCTTCCAGAAACCCTTTGAACGGGCGTCATTGACCTTGCTGACAGTTGAAAAACCGTATAGACAGCATGTGAACTTCTCCAGGATCTCGACATCGTTTGGATGAGGCTGGACATCTGTTCCAAGCCTTGCAAAGGTGCTCACGAATTCGTTGCGCTTCAACATTGCTTTCCAGAATGATTTTTTCCCTTTTTTGAAAAACGCGGACACATAATCGTTGCCGGAGAATGCATGAAGACCAACAACTGCTCGCCTTTTAATTGAAGACAATGTTGAAGATGTCAAATCGACAATTTTCCTGCTTTTTCCAACACCACTGTCAAGAAAAACTCTTACTCCCATAAAATCATGCGCAATGAACAATGCAGTGATATCAATGTCCCCTGAAGGAGATCGTACCATCACTGTTTTTCCAGCTTGGTGAATTGCGGCTTTCACAAGTGCTAATAACTTAGTGTCAGCTTCTTCATGATTGCATGCCAGTTCAGGACAAGGTCTTGCTTCATGCTGGCTAATTCTCGTGCATCGACTTACGTTTGAAAAATATACAACCCGATCATTCAGAGTGTGTCGGCTATCCTCGATCGACTGCTGAATCAAATCAAACAGCATTTTCTTGTTCTCCCCATTCTTCAAGAACTTCGCAAAATCAGCTGGTACTTTCATGTCTGGACTTCGGAGAACATATCGCTTGCTGACACCTCTTGCTGCACGTTCTCGATTTTTAATGCTGTTTTCAAAATAGGCATCGCAGGCCATATAAATGTAAATATATTGCTGTGGAATAGTTGTCATTACTCTTGCTGCAAGATCTCTGATTGTTCCGATATTTCCTACGACAGTTCTGACTGCAGCAGCAAGGTCCAAGAAATAACAATTCATGTCAGTTGCGTCTGGGAGGTCATCATAGGTCAATTCTTCGAGGTCAGACATTGCTGCATCATATAACTTACTTTTAACCGTTTTACGTAGTGAACCGTCGGAAGTGCTGAGAGGAACAGAAACTGGAGCGAGCGGATAGCAGAGAACAGCATCTAGATCAATACCTGCAAGGGTGAAATAAAGGATCATAAGGAATAATCGCTGAAGCAGAAATTTCGACATTCATAGACAAGGGAATATCGTTAAAAATTCAATAGGTTCTTTAATAGTACCTATTGTTGATAACTGTAATAAGAAAATTGTTCATAACTTGATAACGACTGCTGCAGAAAAATACCTGCGTTTTCCTTGTTAGAGTGAGCGACAAGCATTCCCAAAACATCTCTTTGAAAAGCAATTTCTTTGCATTTGTTCCCCTTCTGTACGGTAATTTTGACAGCTGCATCCTGAAATGTTTTTATCTTCGACTTCTTGATTGGGCTGAAAAATTTCTCCTTCTGTCCACTTTCCGACTGCTCATTTGCCGTGAAACGGGCAATAAATTCGCTCATCATTTCTTCTCCTTGTTTCTCCAGGTTTAGTAGGCTTTTGCTGATTTCATCATTTGTAGGGCAGCCGGAAACGATGTTGTACAGCTTTTCTTTATCCAGCTGCTCGTCGAATGGATTTATGAATTGATTCTTTAGAGAATCTTGAATTTTCTGCACCATTTTATTTGTCCTTAATATTTCTCTTGGACGTAAACACTTGCGCGGGCAGGAAATGCTGTCGCCTGTTCCTGAAATATCTCTGAGTGCTTCTACAAAGGTTGACTGAAATGGCCTGCTCAGCACCCATTTTTTAATCGTCTGTGGCTTTGCTGCAAACTTGGTAATGCCACCTGGAAATGATATGAAGTTTTACATTAAGTTGGCATTAGAGAATCTAAAGAAACTTACACTATTAACACTGCAAATGACGTGTACGCTTCCAGATTTACTTCTTTATGCTTACCTGTAGTTTTTGCTGATTTCATGTAAGATTGTTCCCCTGCCATATCAATTGCTTGGCCGATTGCCTGAGTGTTGCGTCGAACAGATACAATTGCTTTCATCTCGTCCTTACTACCTGGGTGTGTGATATCCAGAGACTCCAAAGATTTCAGATAGAACGAACCATAACGTGCATAATGGATTCTGTTAGTGGAGAAGCACATTGGTATGGACTCTTTCCACATCTGAAGTCGGAGGCAGGCATCATTTGTGTTAACAGCGTAATGAAACATATGTTGCCTATCAACAAGTGATACATACTTCATCCAAAATTGTGCAGTTTTCCCAAACTCGCCATTTAAACAGTCTGCTTTGAGATCGTTGTAGGTCTTCATGAACGCTTGTACCTCTGGGCGATCCATAACAGCAATAACTTCTGTGCTATCGGGTGAACCTTGAGAAAACTCTCTGATTACATTAGGGACATCTGTAATGTATGTTTCAATGAAAATTCTTTCCAGTGCCTCTGCAAAAGCCTCATGAATCTTCCAACAGCGATTGTAATGTTTCCCCGACAATACTTTGGACAAACTTCCAGAGCTGCATATGCCTGTTTGAAACGCAATTTCTTCAAAACCACTTCCCTCGACAAACTTTCCAATAACACCAAAAAAAGCCATCATGGCATGAAAGTCACCGAGGTGTATAACTATATCTGACCAAGCAGTAGGGTTATTCCAAATCACATGGTAGGCCTTTATTGCCGCACCAACGTCGAGTGTAATATGAGTATACAGCATATTTGATTGTTCAGCCAGTTTTCGGGAAATCTTAAACATTTTTACAAATGTAACATAATCAGTAATCGGTGTCTCTATCGGCGACATGTAAGTTATTGTTGTTGGCTGACTTTCGTTTTTTCTGAAATTGTTGATAATCCATCCAACAAAACGTGGAGTATTTTGATCTTCGGAATTTAGATACCTTGTCAGCTTCCACGTTGTCAAAAGTTTGGCAGCGACGCCCTCAGTAGCAGCTCTGAATGAACTTACTTCTTTATTTGCAAATGATGGTGGCTCTATTTTTGGGTTAATTCTGATACTTTCAACTTCTGTCGCTGCCTGAACTGGTAGTGAACGTCTCCTAGACATCGGGATGCTAATTTGATCATCTCGTTCGATACAAGCATCAGAAACCTCTTGAAAGACAATTCCTGGTGTGTTATGGATCGATCCACTCCCAGAACACGTCTCAACATTCTTGTCGAAGTTATCCCACCAAAAAACAGTAGAAACCTATGAAAATTAATGGGAAAATCATTTTAGATCATCAAGTGGCATACTTGAAACTTCAAGATGTAAGTTTTAGGACCATACTGCGAGATAGTATAAACGCTTGACTGAAAATAACAGCAAATATGACATATTATATATGGTTAATAGAGGAATATTAAGGAATATTTTACCTTGCTGCCTTCTTCAGCAGGACGCAGAGGCAAATTGAGCGACATTGATTGGAAATGCTGTGCAAGCTCGGCTTGTGCCGTTCTATTTCCATGACTTTGTCGTAGCGGATACAATGGCCAAGTCTTGACAAAATCTTTATTGGGAGCTTCTGTCCTGTAAGACTATGAAGGCCAAGGCCAAGCGCTGTGTGTTTCAGAGTTAAAAAATCTCCTCTTGAAAGTGCATTGATAACATCTTCACTGAGTGACATTATCAAACGTTCAAGATGCTCTCCAGCCTGATGATAATTTTCACTCGTCAAAAGCTTCTTGAAAAACAATGTTAGTAAAGAAGGAGGCTGTCTTTCTTTTGACTGAAGGCTTTCAACTGTGGGAGGCCAAGGTAGAGGGACTGCATCGTTCATAAATTCAAGTAAAGCGTGGCGTAATTTGAAAGCAGCTTTTTTCACAATATATTAATCGCTAAACTGCAATGCTTTTGCCATTGATTGTGTTTCTATACAGTCCTTACTGAAAACAACTTGCGGAGAATGATATTCTGGGGAGACAAAAATTAGTTTCTCTTGGTATTTCTTTTTCAGCCTCTCCTTTAATGCTAACCTTCTTTGCCGATCTCCTACTCCGATTCCATAGCTCATTAGCAAGGTATCCATTGAAAGACACTGCAAGTCTTCCAAAACGCTCTCCTCGACCAAGCTGCATACCGCATTGAAATCACCAGTGACATCCTCTTTATCATTGCTTGTTGAATCAAGCTCCATCTTGGAAACACAGCGCGTGTAATCTTTATAACAGCTGCGATGTTTTTGAAATTCTTTAGCAATTAAATCAATATCATTGACAGCCGTTAGCATTTTTTGGTCATTTCTTACTGATGCAGCTTCTTTGATAGTGTATACAGCAGACTTCGTAAGAATTTTAGAAAGTCCTTCTCGCTTTCTATTTATTTGAATTATTCCTTTCTTCTTACAAATCATGCAAATGCTTGGAAAAAGACCTCTTGCATTGGCACCTTCCTGTATTTCTTCTGTAGTCAAAGCATCACTGCGTCTTCTACGAGATTTGGGCTTGCCATTTTCAAGTTCAGTTTCTTCGCTTGTCTTTCTTTTAAGAAGCGTTCTGGCGTAAACAAATTTTTGGTAACATTCTCTATGGTAATACATCTTCTTACCTTCAACCCAATTTTCTGGAATATTATTACACTGCTCATCATGACCATTACCACCACCGAGCTTCTGTCGAATCGCTTTGCATTCAGAAAGTGAACCGAAAGATGTTTCACTAATAAGAGTGAGTTTATCGGGAAATTTAATGGATTTATAATGGATGAAGCATGAAGCGTCATCCATCTTTTACCATGCCAGTCTTTGAATGCATGCAGTGCAGAATATGTGGGGGCTGTTATAAATATATTGCTAGATATTATTAGGAATATTTAAATTAGGAAACCATTGTTTAGTATATTCAAAGGTTTTCTATTTAAAGGTTGGCTATTTAAAGGTCGTTTATTGAAAGGTTGTTTTAAAAATGCCCAGTTTTTTTTAAGTTTCAATAAATCCTTATTAAGTGTGAAGGGTGCTGTGAAAGTATTTCCGACCAGCAGATAAAACATCTTGAGAAAAACGGATCATCAACTGATGACATGAATTTCCGGAAGCAACACGGAGAAGGAATAGGTTAAACAGGTCTTAGATACTTTGCTGGAAATCATGAAAACGGTGTTCAATGACGAGAAAGAAAGCAATGCATTCAGAATTCCGCCGTATAAGATCAACCTTCGAAATCAGTATATCGAAATTGATGAGAATCAATAATCTATAAACTTTTGCTCAAAATTCATTTTTTTTCATGAAAACGAGGTTTGGACATGAAATAGAGGCTTCCTGGTACTGAATTTACATTTATAAAATAATTTTTTGAAATCAGCACATCAAAATTTATAAAAATCGATTTATTTACAAACTTTCGTTCAACGTTCAAGTTTGGACGAAAACGAGGTTTGAACGTGAAATAGAGGCTTCCTGGTACCGAATTTCTCCGTATAACATCGATTTTCGTAATCAGCGTGTCGAAATTGACCAAATAGAGTTGGTCTTGCAAATTCCCTCGATGGGTGACGATACCCCCCCCCCCTTCCTCGCCTGGTTTATCAGAGTATGGTGTCATTATTAACCCTGTCAAATGTGTTTTTGGTGTCCCTTCGTTGGACTTTTTGGGTCATAGAATTTCTGCAGACGGTATTTCACCCCTGCCTACCAAAGTAAAAGCCATCCAGGAATTTTCACTTCCAACATCTCTTCGGAAGCTTCGTGAATTCCTTGGTTTGATCAACTTTTATCGCCGATTTGTTCCTCACTGTGCAACAATTTTAACGCCGCTCACTGATCTCTTGTCACCTAAATGCAACATTGACGATCATTTCCCGCTGACTGGTGGTACTGAATCTGATTTCATCAACATCAAAGCTGCCCTCGCCAAAGCCACTCTTCTTGTACATCCATCTCAAATTGCACCGTATTGCCTCATGGTAGACGCCTTTAATGTTGCTGTTGGTGGAGTCCTTCAACAATGTATCAATAGCGTTTGGAAACCCATTGCTTTCTTTTCAACGCGTTTACAACCTGCAGAACGAAAGTACAGTACTTTTGGACGTGAACTGCTTGCTGTTTACCTCGCCATACGCCATTTCCGCCACAATTTGGAGGGACGTCATTTCACTGTCTTTACTGATCATAAGCCACTTACCCATGCTTTATCTGTTTCTCCGGACCGATACTCTCCACGCGAGACACGTCATTTGGATGACATCTCGCAATTCACTTCCGATATTTGTCGCTTTCCGGGAACAGAGAACATTGTTGCAGATACCCTACCTCGGGTGGAAATCAATGCTCTAAACGTTTCATCAACTCTCGATTTTGCAGTCCTTGCCAAGGCTCAGCAGGATGATCCAGAGTTATCATGATATCGTCGGACCTCTGCCACCATCTCGAGGCAACAAATATTTACTAACTTGTGTCGATCGTTTTACTCGTTGGCCTGAAGCCATCCCGCTTGCTGATATTACTGCCGACACAGTTGCTCGTTCGTTTGTCACCCACTGGATTTCCAAGTTTGGAGTCCCTACCACCATCACTACTGATCGCGGCACTCAATTCCAATCTGATCTTTTCCACTCTCTGACATTGCTTCTTGGTATAAAACGGATCAGTACAACAGCATACCATCCTTGTGATAACGGAATGGTAGAAAGATTTCACCGTCAACTCAAGTCTTCAATAAAAGCTTCTCCTGATCCTACCCGGTGGTGCGAATCTCTTCCACTTATCCTGCTTCACCTGCGGAAAATCGTCAAAGAAGATATCGGTTGCACTCCTGCTCAACTCGTATTCGGTTGCAATCTTCGCTTACCTGGTGAATTTTTTACATCTTCTACAGAACATTCCGAGCTTGACCCGTCTGTCTATGCTAATCGGCTTCAATTTGCCATGCGTGACCTTTGTCCTACACCGCCTCGACCCCAGACTCCACAGTCTTATCGTCCACCAGGATTATCAACATCTAAATTCGTTTTCGTACGAAACGATGCAGTTAAAAAGCCATTGCAGCCACCATATGACGGTCCTTTCAAAGTGCTGGAGCGTCATGACAAATACTTTCGTCTCGAAATCGCAGGCAAACCAAAAACTGTCAGTCTCGACAGTATCAAAGTTGCCCATACTGAATCTGACATTGCCACGCCCCTGCCAGTTGATACCACGACTTCATTGACACCACAAAATTCAACTGTCAGTCAGCCTCGAACCACTCGTTCCGGAAGGCGAGTACATTTCCCGGACCGCTTTGGTTATTAGTACTCAACGAGTTTGAATCGCCTGTTTTGCTCCGCTCACATTCTAAGGAGGGGGCTATTGTAGTGAACTCACAAACTTGCAAAACAAACAAACTCACAAAACAATAGCAGAGAACACCTTTTGTTTTCAACTTGCGTAGTAATTCTTTATCCCTATTGTTTTCATCTAGCTCTTTTCTCTTCCTTTTGTATTTAATTCAATAACTCTCTGTTATCAACTTTTGAGTTTGTACAAAGCTATTTTTTAATTGAGTTGGTGAAAAAGTTTCACAGAGACACACATGGAGAGTTTCTCTTTCGTTTTTCACTAAATTAGTAAACACAACTAAGCAACAACATTTACTAAATATCTATTATTTGTGGATGATATAGGGTGCATTGTATAAATTCCTGTAGGTTTTCAAGCTTGTGTTTGCCAGATGAAGATTATGTCATTGATGATTCTTTTCCAAAATATTCGACTACGCCCCATCGGGGCATTGCTCAACATATGTTGTTCTATTGTTGTCATGAATATGTTGGCATAATTTAGGGCAAAGGGATTCCCCACGCGGTGCCTTAAGGGAGGTTAATAAAATTTACAATTAGACTCCTTTTTTATAAGAACCAGTAAATTGAAGTTCAGGCGGGTTGTTCTTAATTTTTTCGAAAAACTGTTGTTCTTAATTTGTTCTTAAATTTATAGGGTATAAGCAGTGCCATTGTTAGCTTTTCGCTCTAGAGAGGTGTCCAGGCCTCATTTGTCAATAAAGTGCATGAGAAAACCTTCATTTGTCACCATGTTTGAATATTAAATATGTACGTTGCGTGTGGTACTTTATCCAGAATAACGATAATATAGTTAGCAAATAAATTTAGTACCAGAACGAAAATATAATAGTTTGATTGTTAAAAATACGACTTTTCGAGCATGTATTCGTTATCAAGTTTGAACATTCACCGAAAAAGCATCCCAAGGTAGCAAAAAACTCCTCGTTTTTGAGATGAAATTTTACTGGAAATTACATTTTACAGTAGCTCAGCCTTAGTTTGTTCTTAATTTGTTCTCAACTTTTGACTAATTTTGGAGTTAGTGTTCTTTAAAAATTGTTCTTATAAAAAGAGAGTGTAAAGGCAATGTAATTATGTTTAAGAATGAAAATCACCATCTGTTGTATTTTATATGAAGAAGGCTAGTTTCCCCCTGATGATTTTTGATGGCATTGAGGGAAGCTTTGATACCCTCATCTTGTGAAATGCTGGTGTATATATCGAAAGTGTGTTGTAAAAAATGAGCTCATACTCTTTGAATCCAGGATTAGGGGGGTTGCCTCACTCATTAAAAAACTTTATCTTTCTCGTCTCCTCAAGGTTAGGCAAACACATCGGTGAACTTGTGGACACACTGAGCAAGGACCTAACCGGGAGCAACTTACCTTAAGAATAATTTTAATGCTACGGGAACTTGGGGCCAGCTCTCAACATTTCCAACTTTTGCTAGGGCAAAGTGTTTTATGCAGAGCAAATATGCAGCCACCCCCCCCCTCCCCTCAGCCCCCCAATCCCCAACAAAAAGTATGAAGTGACGCCCTTGGCTCCAGCGAATCTGGTTACAGTGATTTTGG